GGCTGCTGTGCTGTGCTGTTTTCACTGTTCAGAAGTGTGTTGTGTCACGTGAATTTATACTTGTTGTGTTTGTGACGTCAATGTGGGCGTGTTCTGATGATGTATTATGAGGTCGAACATACTACGTAGGCTATTACTTTCTCTTTTATACTTTTGTTCTTCTATCAATTTATTGAATTGATATATGTAGAAGTCCTCTTTTATATTCATTATGCCTCCTTTTTTAGCTTTTTTGATCATTTCCATAATTACTGTCATCGGCCCGTATTGATGGAGATTATTTAGTACATGTTGGGCAAATGCCGATTCGTCTTTGTTTAGACTTATACTTCTTATGTGTTCTTTGTATCTAGTTGTTAGATTTCTACCCGTTTGGCCGATGTATACTTTTTGGCAACTTTGGCATGTTAATTTGTATATGCCACTATGCTCGTACGGGTTTATTAGGTTACCTATTGTGTGTGTTGTTTTAAAGGCTATCTTTATGTTGGTGTTTTTGAATAGTTTTGTGATTTTTCATATGTAGTTTCCTGTGTAGGTGTAAGTGACCCATTTTTGTTGTTCTTTTTCGTCTTTATTATTCGGGTTACTTATCTTTTGTTCAAGTTTGTTATACAGGTGTATGATGTCTTCCTTTCTATAGCCATTATTTTGTGTTATATTAATAATGGTGTTTAATTCTTTGTTTTTAGCATCTTTCTCAAGTGGAAGTGTAAGAAGTCTGTGTATCCAGTTTTTATATTCTGCTAATTTTTGTTCTTTAGGGTGGCATGATTTATTATTTATAGTTATGTCTGTCGATGTTGGTTTTCTGTATATTTCCATTTCTATATGTCCATTTCTGTTAGTTATGTTTAAGTATAGGTAGGTTATTTGGTTGTTTACTTCTTCGTTTATTGTAAATTGTAGGTTTTTATGTTGTCTATTAAACTGTACAAGGATGCATTGGGGGGTTATTTTTGTGAGATTATATATTATGAAGATGTCGTCTACATATCTGTTGTAGTATTTGATATTCTCATCTTCCAGCAGATGTTTTATTCTGCTTTGTAGGAAGATTTGTGCCATTGTATTCGATATGGGGGAGCCCATGGCTACGCCTGTTCTTGGTTTATAATATTTCCTGTTATATTCAAAATAGTTTTGGTTCAATATCATTGTAAGTATGGACATTATTTCTTTTATAATGCTTTTGTCCATGTGACTATCCTTAAGTAGTTTATGGGTTACAAGAAGTGTATCACAGATTGGGATATTAACGTATAGGTCCTTAATATCCAATGTTAGTAGTTTGTGATTTGCATTTAGTTTTAAGTTTCTTATGTTTCCTGCAAAATGTGTTGTGTTAGTGATGTTGTACTCGTATTTTAATTTTTGGTGTTCGTTTATTCTTTGATGTATGTATTTAGCTATTTTATGTGTGGGTGCATTAGTGTTGTTTATTACTGGTCTAATTGGGGCCTCTTGTTTGTGAATTTTAATTTTTGCTTTCAGTTTAGGTGCTTGTGAGTTCATTTGGTGAACATGTCTTCTTTTTGTTGGGTCTATTATAATTTTACATTGTTTCAAGGTGTTTTGTACTGTTCTTTGAAATTTTTGTGTAGGGTCTGTTCTTAGTTCGGAGATGTTATTATTTTCGATAAAAGAATTCAATTTTTTTGTCCAGGTCTTCTTTATAAATGATAACTAGTGTTTTTTCTTTATCGGCTTCTGCTATAGTAGCTTTGTGTTGTGCAAGTTTTTGTTGTATTTCTTTGGTTATGTAAATTTCTTTGTGATTTATATTTGTGATTGTTAGTGTGACAGACCAGAATGAAACAAATCAAATTAATCAATGCAAGTCTAACTTACTGCAAAAGCCTCATGAACTTCCCAAACATCAATGTCACTAAGCTGGAGACCAGCCTTTTCCAGCACTTTGGGTACAGCATATGTTGGACTGCAAATATGAAAACAAAAAGCAATTAGTATCTATTCATTAGCAGAGTTTCCAACTCTGAATTGAACTGTCCTTTAACCCTTTGACGTGGTAATTTAAATTCCGCGGCCGCGGCTCCTGCGGTAATATATTCAGCCGGCCATTTAAATTTTGCNCCTGATTACAGGTGCATAATCATAAGTTAGTGGCAGACTGTGATGTCATCACAAAAATGTTACAGCCTTCAATTTTCAACATACTTCCAGTATTCATACACCTGTCGGTAATTTCAACATACTGACTTAACACTTCTATCTCAAAATGGTTGACGGTATGCATGAACAGTGGTGTAAAGGGATTGTGAAATCTAGCATGTATGGATGGCATATGTATGCATGACTGCACTTCTTACTCAAAGTATTGCTCATTCCTAAATACCCCATTTACATATACTTGACCAATTTTGTATCTCTCAGGTTCTTTCTTGTATTATAGAGTCACCTTGTACCATATTCTGGAACATTCTGCCATCAGGACATTTGTGTTCTTTTGTGTGATAAATCCAGAGATTTGAGACTAACCTCAATGGTCATTTACAAAGACTCTAGACTCCTTGCAAACATATGACTATTTATTTCACTAATATGTGGAATCTATTCCTAAAATAAAATTATGCTACAAACTCCTGCATAGGAACATGGGAGAGAAGTAAGTTAAAGACAATGAACATCAAAATTTAATATTAATATTCCTAGCCAATGGTAAAATGGCACCTCTGTAATTTTATGGTTTCAATGCTGAATGCTCTGAATCCAAGGTTTACCTCGAATGCAGACGCAAATCTATACATAATTAAAGCAAATTTATGTTGCTCTTTCTTGCAACAATTCAAAATTAATTTTGAGAACACTGAGTTTAGTCAATCAACAATATGACACACAATGCTGAAGGCTTCTTTGGAGTTTGTTCATTTTAGTTTTTAATACAAAAATGTTTTAGGAAAGAGTTCTCCTTCCATGTTCAGATGGAAAGGATATCAAAAATTCCTATTCTACTGGATATCTAGGTCGAGCTACTCTCATGGCTGGTACAGGGTAAGCGAACATCTCTATCTATATGCCCAACAGGGTAGATCTTCGCATCCTTTCCACCTGAAAATGAAAATGGAATCTATTTCCAAAATATTCTGGTTTCCAATTGAAAATTAATATTAAAGACAAAGTTCAATTAAACAGTCTTCAAACTCCCACTGCCTTTCAGAAACAACACACAGATAATAATAATCTTCCTAGTCCAAATAGCACCATTTCATAAGTTTCCTACCCAAGAAGAAGCTGGTCCTTTGGATCCTGCGAAACAAAGATAAAATCTCGAACATAGGCCTTTGGTTTCAGACCCAGTTCCTTTGCTTTCGCTTCCGTGGTAATTAAGCAAGCTGAAGCACCATCAGTCTAGGGAAGAGACATATGTGTGCATAAGTCTAAGAAAATGACACATGTGACATCCTTACAATAGCATGATTATTACAAGAACAATGAATACCAAAAACTTCACACACATATATCAGAAGCAGTATCTTCATGAGACAGGATGCAGCCACTATTTCTAATCACACTCACATCCTTGCAGGGACTTCCTTGAGAAGTTCAAAGCTGCACTACTGGTCAATAAATAAACTGCTGCTATGGAACACAATAGTTTATGGGTGGATCCTCCATATGTGTTCCTCAGTTTAAGGCTGTCCTTCATTTAAAACTGACACATGTATGAGTAATTACAGACGAGGTTTGGATTGGTAATTGGATTTAGTGAACTCTTACAGATGTGTGACTATAAGTAATTATAACATTTCACTAATTCAGACACTTTACAGCTCATTAGAGCATACATTTAAGTCTACTCAGCCTGCTGTGTCTACACCAGTTTTCTGTTAACGGCTTCCAGCAGTGGACATTCCCCTTCATCTGGGGTCCTGAAATGTCCCTGGCCTCAGCTACACCAACTCTCGACTTACTAACTTACTCACGAACCAACTACTTTTCACTTTGCTCAACTCACTCTCACTAACTGCCCCACTATATAACATCTAGGCATGAGCTACATAGAAAACACCGTTCTTCTATTGCCATCCCATTGTTGCCTTAGTGTCTGTTGGGGTTCCCATTACTGTTGTATCCAAACGCTGTCCTGAAAACATGCTTGCCTGCAGAGCTGTTATTTAGCAACAGTTGTTGTACATTTGCTTATTCCAAGGTCACTGGCCTGGCAACGGGTCTACATGCAACATTATTAAATTTCAATGATCTTAAGTCGCTCAAGTCCCAATGAGGTAGATTTTTTCAATTTACCTAATTCTTCCAGCTGCACTATGGCCTTGGGGTTGACTCAGCCTCTAACAGAAATGAGTACCAGGAATCTTCCTGGGGGTAAACGGTAGCAGTTGCATAAGGCTGACAACCTTACCGCCATCTGTGACCCAACTGTCTATAGAGAAAATGTCGGAGCCTCAACGTCTCACAACCCTATGGGCCTTCACCATCTGTTACAGGGACAGCTTTACCTTTAACCTTCATGATCTAAGTCATTAATCTTAATATTACATTTCTGTTTACAATTTTCCTCAGTTCAATTTTCCAAAAGAAAGCTCAAATGGGGGCTTCACAGTATTACAATGTCTATGCAAGCATGCCATTGGACCTGTCCTCAACCACTTGAATTCAGTTCACATTTTCACAGCCTATTCTTTCAAGATCTGTTTTCATGTTATCCTAACATATTTTGCAACCTATACCATGTGGTGTCTTCCATTCAAGTTTCCAGACAAAAATGTTGTACGCATTTCTAATTTTCCCCATCCATGTAAAATTCCGCATAAATGAAACTCTGAAATCAATGTAATTATACAATGAACTCACCAAAGTCCACACAACATACTAATTCTGATGCATTCACTCTCTTCTTTAAACATCTCGAAAACACCCAAGACTTCTAGAAAGAATGTACTGGAAATATGGTCTGTATTTCATTTTCCTCTACAGCTTGAGTTCAAACATTTTTTTATTCCAGTATATACTGTGATATATTTGCCGAAAGACAAGGCACATTGCTAGGCAATGGTGAGATAAACGAGTCTCCACGACAGGAGTGATGCCATGCAACAACAGAAGAACTACTGCAAGCAGTGCTTTCTGCTGGGTCCATCCCATGGCTATATCACAAGGACCAATGGGACAAGCCCATCTTGAGACAGCAGAGTTAGAAGAGTAGGAGGTCGGTGCGAAATGGCCACCAGCCTGTGAGGACGTGAGCCCGGGAATGGAGGAATGTCCACTGATGCAAGACATCAGCAAGCAGCACAGTGAAGACTGTGACTGGAAACACTGGTCTGTGTGTGATACTGACTGGTAAAGTGTAGTCACAAGAGTCAGCAGTCTTGAGACAGTGGTTAGGAAGTGTAGTTCTTGAGCCATAAGGGCATGAGGAATAGCCCATTAGAAGAGTGTAACGAGGCAACACCTAGTTAGTCATGAGATAGGCAACAGCCAGCAAGGACCAGAGCCATGGAACATGAAAGCTGAAGGATCTACAGTGTTGGGAGTGTTGCCAGGCAGTAACCAGTGAAGATACATTACACAGAAAAATTTGTGCTGCAGTATAGTGAACTGTTAAGTGTGTAAATCAGTGAAACTGCTATAGTTAATTGCTCTCATTATCTGTACATGTTCAATAAATGCAATAACCAATCCAAACCCCATTTATAGTCACTTACCATAAGCCTACATGAATCATTATCAAGATACACACAAAAGTGAATGTACGTAGGTCATACTGAAAGTCATGAGCAACTTTTTTTTTTTTGCATGCAACCTGGGAAAAGCAGACAAAAGAGAGTATGGTGGTAGGTGGAACCAGCTGTTTTGTTAACCTTGAGTCTCTTGTGACATCCATAGCTTGCATCACGTGACCAGTATCACTCCTAACAAAATGGCTGACGATATCTCGTTTTGCCAGCGTGCTGTCATTGAATTTCTTGTGAAAGAGGAAATCCTTGCTGCAGAAATTCATCTGAGACTTCAGCATGCTTATGGAAGTGTGTGCATGGGTGCGAGTAGTGTTCGAAGATGGGTGAAACATTTTAAAGATGGGAACACCAGCATCAAAGAAGAGCCTCGGAGCGGTCATTCTCGAACAGCCTCAACTGAACACAACAAGGAAAGAGGGGATGAGATCACTCAAGATGACAGGCGTGACTGTGGACACAATAGCCTGAAAACTTGGAATAGGGCACAGTGCAGTACAGGAGATGACTGAAAGCTTGGGCTATAGGAAAGTTTGTGCTCATTGGGTTCCACGGTTATTGACCGAAGGCCACAAAGGTCAGAGAAAAGCCATCACCTTAGAACTACTGCAGAAATATTGACATGAAGGCGATGATTTTTTGCTCTTTATTGTGACATGTGATGAAAGCTGGTTTCACCATTTCAAGCCTGAAACACAACGGTGGAGTATGGAATGGCACCATTTGCATTCTCCATCAAAAAAGAAGGCAAAGACAGTGCCATCAGCTGCAAAGGTGATGGGCACAGTCTTCTGGGATGCAGAGGGGTTTATTCTGGCCGAATTCCTGGAACCTGGGCAAACCATCAATTTTGCTCGTTATATCCAGACGCTGCACAAGCTCCATCATGCATTGCACGATAAACGTCCTGGACGAAACATCATCATCCTGCATGACAACGCTCGCCCCCAAGCCGCTCGCCTCACAATGGAAGCAATTGCAAAGATGGGGTGGGAAGTTCTTCCACACTCCTCCTATAGCCCTGATCTGGCACCCTCCGACTACCATCTTTTCGGATTTGTGAAGGATCAGCTATGTGGACAAGGTTTTGAGACAAGGAAGGCAATTCAGAAAGCAGTGCATCAGTGTCTTCGGATGGCTGGAACAGAATTTTACAGAAGGGGAATTTTCAAACTCCCAGAACGTTGGGAGAAATGTGTTCAAAGAAGGGGCGATTATGTGGAAAAATAAAGAAAGGTCGTATGTCTTCCTGTGACACAACTGCTTTTGCTGTCTGGTTTTAACCAGAACCTGAATGACCTAATTTTTAGTAAACCATCTCAAAACAAAATTTTATGAAAATCCATTCAGCAAATTCTCAACTTGTCAAAAGAGGGCTGATGGTCAGACAGACACAGCAAAGGTAACAGGCATATTTTTGTAACTTTTTGTTGCATATGTGCTAAAAACCTGACCTACCTGACAACTTAATTAAACAGTGCTGCTTTCAATAGAACAGATCATAGAACAAGTGACTACCAATTGGATATATTGACCACTTTAACACACGACTTGTGACTACACTTAATTAGAGTGTCATTGCTGATTTCCACACTTTAGAAATCACTACAGCACATGCTAAGTCTTTTCAGTCTGCTGTATCTTCACCAGTTGTTCACTGGTAACAGCGTCTAACAGTGGAGATTCTGCGGTTTCTGTGCTCACTTTTTTGCTAACTGCACTGACTAATCTCTTTAAAGGTTCCCGTAAAACTCTTCTGTCTCTTGTTCCAATGGTCCTCCTTAAAACATCTCGGCATGGACCATGTAGAAAACACCGTCCATTGTTGTACTCCAATCATTTCCACAGGTACATGTTTGTTTGCAACGGCATTACTCAGTAATGGCTGTGTATACTTGCTTACTGAGAATCTGTTGCCTAGCAACGGATGTTGCTTTGCTGTTTGTTTTGACGTCATTACCCAGTAATGGGTCTGCATGCGACAATACTTCTATGGAGACACTGCAGCAGTAAATTTATATTACACTATGCTGTGTTCACCCTTACCAGAAAAGATGCATTTGCAGCAGTTATTGTTCCATGTGGTTTAATGAAGGCAGGTTTCAGTTTCTGCAGCTGCTCAGGAGTTGAAACTCTAACTCCATTATCCCTTGATACAGTCTTTGATACTCCAGGAACTAGAAATTCAAATGGACCAAATTCAGTTCTCATCTTTCTTTACTTTTACTGGAGACAAAAGTAAACCACATAATACATTTACAAAATTGATCAAGACTTAATGAAAATGTCCACAGACTTTTATGCCTAAATGCCTTTCTTAAAGAAAGATATAAAGAAGAAAAGAGAAGAGAGAGGGAGGAAGAGAAGAGAGAGGGAGGGAGAGAAATAAAGAAAGAAAGGAGATTGCAGTGTTGGTGTTTCTGGCTTCATATTTGAACCAATTAACTCATTTTCATGAAATTCCACATGAACATTATGCATGCAAAGACCACCCGGAATGAAAATTTTGTAACCGCTACAATCATTAATAACAATATGGCAAACACACAAGTTTGTGAGCTGGGTGTAGGCACCACTGCCACTCATTATAGGGTCCTGAATCAATTTATGATAACAGATCATAAAAAAGAAAAGAAACCCCACAACTACTCTGCAGAAAATGTTCAGGCATTTGCAACCCTGTGGAGTGCCCATTAAGTTAGACCAGGTCATGCCTTGCATATGAAACACTTCAAGAACCTCTGAACAGATTTTTGTGAAATATGATAATGAAAAGTTTTACGCAAATTGTTAAGCCATTTCCATTTTCTGTTAGATTGGGCAATTTTAACAGCTACTTTGAAGACCCTCGTTCATTTCATGAGTCTTGAGTGTTAACTCCCTAAATATACAGTGGAGAGTAAAATGTATTTGATAACAGTTTTAGAGAAGAAGGTAATAATTCATTTTCTGTAAGTCTTGCAGCTTTCAGCATAATTAAACAGGACTGATACTGGTACATTTCCAAATGTGCACATTTAACAATCAACCATGGCCTCTTATGCACAACGTAATTAATGGGGTAAAAAAGGGGGGAAAAAAAAGGTCTTTGAGTTTAGGCTGTGTGTTAGAAGTATCAGATTTTTCTTAGTCTTTTACTGTAGAACCCTACTACAACACAACTTTAAGGCACATATACAACGCTACAATCTTATGCCATTGCAAGTTTAGATCTTCAATCACTCATCATCAGGTTGGTCAAGTACATTTCATATCTTACACAATTCAAATGTGATCAGAGAGCCAATTAGTCATCTACAGTATGAGTTATTTAAATTGTATATACTGATTGTTTCATAGAAAGTAATTAATTAAGAGTTAAATATAATAACACTTTAGTAAACATCCTTAAAAACAAATTTCTGATCACTGAATCTCATTCAAATACCATTATAATACATTGTATACAGTACCTTATTCACCTCCATGTCACTCATCACTATGTAGTATGCAACTGTATTTTTCTATATAGGAGATGTTTATATAAATTATAAGAATAAAGTTCAGCATTGCCTGTAATGTAGACACAATGCACAAGCTATCATACCTTATGTTACTACACTGATATCATAAAATCCTTCTTCTATCTTGCTAATCTTATAAGAATTATGAAAAAGTTAAACAGTTCCATCCAGTGTGAATGGTTAAGATTTTTGTCTTATTTCAATTATTCATGCCCTTACATGTTTCAGTCTTCAGAGAACATCTTCAGACGGACACCTTTACATCAATACAGTTAGAAGCCACTATTACAGTATATGTTCTAGAAGTTAAAATATATACATACAATATAAATATTATACAATTGGGTGTAAAATCTAAANGGTCGGTTCCAGTTATTTTTGGGTCCCCCTTCGTATATTAAAATATTTATAGTTAGTTTGATAAGATTCTATTTGAATTTGTAAACCAAGCTGGTTTGTGACGCCCCTCTTATTATTTCTTTTGACAGGGCCTGAATGTGTGCCACTTTGTCGTTCTCAAGAAGAAGTTCTTTGATGTTGTCCTGTATGAGCTTGTGGCCCCTTAAATTATTTACTTTTACATGTCAACAATTGCCAACCCCTTGCAGACACTTCCGAGTTTCCCGCCTAGTGTAAATGTACAAGTAAACAGTAAACAGAAAAAAAACTATCCCTGTAAGAGGCCACAAAGGCCCATAAGGTTGTGAGACACTGAGGCTCCCATATTTTCTAGACAACTGGCTCACAGATGGTGGTGAGGTTGTCAACCTTATGTGCCGGCCACCTTTTATCCCACAGGAAGATTCCTGGCACTCATTTCTTGTGGCCAATTTTCCCACTCCTCTTAGTATTCAAGGGGATTTCCTGAAGCTGTACGATTTTCTTATCATATATTGTTCTGTGTTCTATTTGTTTTTACTATATAATTCATTCTCACTCTTTAAGCTTCTTGGATTATTTTATTGTGAAGATTAATATATTTTTCTGTGATCCTCTATGTTGGATTTAAACAGGGCAATACCTGTGTATAAATGTCATGGCAATGTGGAAGTACAAGGGACTTAGTCCCACCCCACTAGCAATACTTCAATGAGCTGTATAAGAATGAAATAAATTTATTACCAATCCAAAAGCTGTCAACAGTCACATCAACAAACATGACAGTATGTTGAATGACTGAATAAATGCATAAGGAGTAGGCCTAAACTGGCCCTTGCACTGCAACCTTCAAACACTCATATGTTAAAGAAAAGAGTATATTACAGAATATCAGCTACAGATGGCAAATGTGTATACAAACCTTTCATTGGAACTATGTCTGTGAGGTATCCCTTATCATATGCCTGCTGGGCCAAGGTGTGGGAGCGCAGAGCATATTCATCCTGCTCTTTACGAGATACACCAAATGAGGCTGCCAACCGATCTGCAGAATGCCCCATAGTTTCACCCGATGAGAATTCTGCCACTGATGGCAACTGCATAAATTAATCGAATCAATATTAAAAGAAAAACAACAGACAGGGAAAAAAACTATATCATGAATGAAAAGCAAAACCTTTACAACTGCAAGGAACCATGAAGTACCAACAGATTATCACATATACGTGGGTTACTTAAAAAATCATAGCAACTAATTTTTGGGGGGCAAACACGTTACAGTGAAGAAAGTTCAAAATATACTTATGAAAGGGCATGATATACCCTTCCGATTGGCTGTCAGATCAGGCAGATGTGAAGGGGAGTAGGCATAGTAGGCAAGAAAAATTGCACATTAAGGAATGACTGTCTTTTTCATTCTTTAATCCTCGAAAAATTCAATTGTGATTAAGAAATGAAAAATTCAATGTGAGTTAAATCTGAATTCTTACATTATGACTAGCAACCTTCAAAGTAGTCTCCAAGTGTTTCAAGTACTCGCTGCCAGCGATGAGGAAGACGATGAATACCAACAGCTTCACCATCTCCAAATCTTGTCATCTCACGCTGAACTACGTTGGAAATGTCCTCTCGTGTACAAAAGCGTTTCCCTCGCAATGGCTGTTTCAATTTGGGTATTAAGTCATAGTCACATGGCGAAAAGTCAGGTGAACATGAAGGATGGTGTAGTACTTCCCATCCCCAATATCGTAAATGGTTCTTGAGACTGTTTGCTGTGTGGGCGGTGGCACTGTCGTGAAGGATGATGGCATTGTTAAGCAGTTCAGGACATTTATTCCTAATTGCACGACTTAAGTTATTCTGCAGAAAGGACTCATAATATGCTGCACTGACAGTCTGACCATGTGGAACAAAATGACACAGAATAACTCCCTGGACATCACATATGCTAAAATGACCATTAACTTAAAAGGGATGGGTTTCTACAAAACTTGTGCTTTTCCGGCAACTCTGAATGTCGCCACTCAGCGGACTGCCGTTTAAGCTCAGGTTCGTATGCCCTAGCCCATGTATCATGGATGGAAATTATCTGATTCAAGAAATTGTCTCCTTCAATTTCATATTGTCCGAAGTTCACACGACTTGCTCCATAATGTGTCCAATTTTGAACCTCGTTTAATTCATGTGGCACCCACTACGCTGCAATCTTACGCATGTGTAGGTCTTTTCATAAAATTCGATGCACAGTTGCCTGGTCAATCCCTGTATGTCTCTCTAACTCCTTCAGAGACCAGCGCCTATCTTCCTCCATGAACTGGGTGATCACGGCATGAGAAACATCGGTACGAACGGACACAGGGCGTCAACTATGTTGCAAGTTGGCACTTGCTTCTCTTCCACGTTGGATTTCTTCTATCCATCTTGCAACAGTTCTGTATGGCAGACGATCACCCAGAGCTTGCACAAGCTCTGAGTGACATTCAGTCGCATTTCTGCCGCGAAGCACTACTATTTTCATGTAATAACGCTGTTCCAGCCGGCTAACGTTCATTCTCGATGATTCTTATGATCACACTGACTTCGCACTGGACTCGCTTCGTTGTCCTTGGACTTCCAAATCATCTAGCAGCATCATTATAAATCAGACGTTGCTGTCTCTCAGCGGCAAATTTGGAAATTCTGGTCGGAGCTTTCGAAATTTTGAAAAAAATATGTTGCCATGATCTTTGAAGTAACCCACGTATATAATATTGTATCTCAGCATCCTGTTGCATTAAAGAATCACTTATACACATTAATTCTGTCTTAAATGCAATGGTATTTACTCGTATAATTAATTTTTAGTTTTTGTTTTTATGTATAGCAACAATTGTAAATAAAGCTGCATTCAAGACAGAAGTAAACGTGTATAAGTGATCATATATTTTATTCAAAATAGAGAACTGATGGCTATTATCTTTTTATTGAAGAATCAAATCCACTTTTAGTAGAGAAAATACTGTTCAACCTTGACCTTTCGATAATCTATAGAATTTGAAAAACTGTCCATTCTAAGGAAAAATGGATGAATTGCATAACTACAAGTCCTCCCCTAACTTCCAGTTATGTGTAATAAAATTTAGCATTATGGTTTGAATAATAACAAAGGTGTGGCAATGTTTCTTGTTCTCTAAGTGGTTATTAGAGGGACGTGAAAATAAAGGATAATTGAATATATTCATTGTTGTTAGCACCAAAGGAACCCAGATATTAGAGATTTTTTCATTCACAACCGATAATTACAGACCATCCTTTACGGGAACAGTTTGTACCCATTTTTTACTGCAAGCCTGCAAAACATTGCACCCACAATACATTGTACAGACATAAATGCGATTGGTAGGGTAGATTCATAATGAACTGGAGTAACAGAACACACAGAGCAGTCTAAATCTCACTAGTACTGAACATACATGCATTACATTAAAGGGTGTTCTAAATAACTTGGCTGGAATGCATGCAACTTTTTGACATTACAAATGTAATAAATGGTGGTTAAACAGCTATTATACCTAACTGCTTAACTATTAAACATGTGTTATTGTACTGGTACATAAAGAGTACATGAAAACAAAACAGTTTAATTTTCAAACCTACTGAAACCAGGTTTAAGTAATACTTAAGTTACCACATTCATTATGCAGTTAGTATTACCATTTGTTCTTCCCTTGTCTATGATGATACATTAGAAGCATGAATGTCATTTATGTCTGTCACAAACTGAGATCACAAAACGAGTTTCACACCTAAGTACTCGTGAAAAAAGGAAAAATATTACAGCTCATTTTCTCATGACATATAAAGCTGTGACTTCTGCATTCATAAGTCATAAATTTTTTGGAAGTGGCAAAGTCATGACAGATGTATTGGAAATCAACCTGTTTGATTCTGTAACATTAGAGTCAAACATTAATCTAAGATATCATAGCATCAGAACAAGTTTTCACAGTGAAACACATTGCGCACATGTCAAGACATAAATGTTGTGACTTTATGTCCTGTGAAAATGGGCTTTTAATTTGCTTAGGATTAATTATATCATGTTCTCTCTTCATTATTTTAAACAATGCCAGATTAGTTAATCCATCTTGCCTCCACATATCATTTTTTAACAAGCTGCTCACTATACACACATACTATTTCAAGCTTCATATTAAAGCCTAAATTCTTCTGTTTTGTTGACATACTGAGGGTTGCCCAAAATTCTGCAGTCAGTGCCAACTCAAGTACGTCATGTGTCTGATGAGAATCAAAACCTTGAACACATGTGCGCACAGTTGTATTCTGCGAGATCATCATCTGAGGTAAGCAGAAGGTCAAGGGAAGGGGGAACCTATGGAGCAAGGACATGACACTGCACAGGTCCTCTGTAAGCAAGCTAAATGATACAGTATACACTGAGAATCTATTGGACCAATGAGGAAATTCAGAGAATTTCACGTGATGCAAATTTCTCTGTGGTAAAAATGTGAAGGGGGTAAGATGCTATGAAATTCTGAATTGTAAACTTTCTACAAAAGTAGGAGACAGGTGGGTTACTGGAACTTTACGACTGCTGGTCATAAATAACTTTAGAAGCAAAAAAGGTTACAGGAAAGCATAAAGGCCAGTTACAAATCACTTATTATGATGAAAGTGCTGGGAAAAGCTCTCCTCATTTTATGTTATCTTCATATCTGTAATATTAAGGAACTCGTGGTTCCTACAATTTCTGGCATCATAATGAAGTCCTTATTATAAGATATACTGACTATACCACAGTTTCAATGCATAAAAAAAAAAGGCTGAGAAAATGATAACTAATGAAATATTAACTGCAACAGACACTGAAGACACTGGGTTGGTATTCCTGGAATATTTTAGATTTTTAAATTAAAATTTCTGATGAACCAGTGCAAATGAATGGGGTTTCCATACGTGGAGTTTCAAATTGTCTATTAATAACTTCACTTTTAACTGCTAACACACTTATAACTAAAATAATATTGGTGTGGGACCCTCAACGTCTCACAACCCTATGGGCCTTCACGGCCTGGTACAGGGATAGCTTTACTTTTTACTTATTACAATACAACATCTGAAAGTGAATCACCTCTGGAACAAGATATGAAGGACGTAATGTAGAGAGAAGCTGAAGTTTTTGGACTATCGTTTTGGTCTTATTCAAACGCAAAAGAAGACTGCGAAGTTTGCGAGACAGACGAATGGGAATATCAGACATGAATTCCACTCCTCCCGCAATGACGACATCATATGCTCCAGCTGCAATAAGCCCGACTCCTAAAACAAGGATTGGTTATGTGATACGTGTTCAAGCTGAAATGAAAACGTGCTACTAGTGATAGCATGACAATACTTTCCTACAAGAACACAGAGGGACTGTGCAGTTTTTCCTGTGCTGGATACTGGACTCTCTCTACCCAAACAAAACTCTGGTATAGATTATGTAAAAATGTGATAAAAACTTATCATATTTACTTACTTACTTACAGAGCTGAGCCCTTCTTGAGGAGAAGCAAAATCTGCAGCTACTCAAGAATTTCCCAGCATCTTATGGAACTCGAAGGTTCATTACTGTGTTCACAAGAGCCCTCCACTGGTCCCTCTCCGGAGCCAGATCAATTCAATCCATACCATACAATTCTGTCTCTCTAAGATTCATTTTAATATTGTCCACCCACCTACACCTTGGTCTTCCAAGTGGTCTCCTTCCTTTTGGCTCTCCCACCAATATCCTATATGCATTCCTCATCTCCCCCATTCATGCTACATGCCCTGCTCACCTCATCCTCATTGACTTGATCATTCTAATTAAACTTGGAGAAGAGTACAAGTTATGAAGCTCCTCATTATGCAGTTTTCTCCAACCTCCTGTCACTTCATCCCTCTTTGGTCAAAATATTCTCAACACCTTGTTCTCAAATACCCTCAGTCTATGTTCCACCCTTAACGTCAGAGACGAAGTTTCACACTCACACAGAACCACAGGCAAAAGTATAGTTTTGTATATTCTAATTTTTATGTTTTTGGACAGCAGACAAGATGACAAAAGGTTCTGGACTTAATGGTAGCAGGCATTACCCAAGTTCAATCTCCTCATAACCTAGGCCCCAAAATTTTTATATTCTAATAGTTTCCCAAGCTTTATTGACATCTGCCTCAGTGGCTAATGAACTCTGTGCATTGTTTGTTTACTAACTGAGAGTCTTTCCCTAACCTCTGCCACCACCAGTAAGTGGTCAGTATCACAATCTGCTGCTCTGAATGATTAGACATCAAGTATACCTGAATGCCGTGTCCTAGCTATCAAAATATGGTCAATTTGATTGTGTGTTTTCCCATCAGGAGATGTCCAAGTAAATTTATGTATGTTATGTTGTGGGAACATTTTATTTTTGACAGTAGGATTTCTGGATGTGGCAAAGTTTACTACTCTAACTCCATTATCATTACTAATTTCCTGTAAACTCTCATTCCCAACTGCTGATTTGAAAATGTCTTCCTTACCTACTTTGGCACTGAACTATATGTTACTTTAAACACCATTTCAGTTCGTTCATTGTTGTGATGACCAAAGGAATTCCAACCCATACCAAAAAGAGAACAAAGAAAATTAACACACTTATAACATACTATCAGAAGCACCCAAATAAGTACAAATTATATTTTTTTGCACCAGCCTACATTGAGAACTATAACAGGTCATTAACTGGACTTACTTACCTGTGGTAATGCTTTGGTTTGAGCTAATACACGCCATTGTAACTGTGTGCGCTGGTGTTTTTTCTGAGAAACCAGCAGCAAGAGCAGCTTCACGTCCAATGTTGCTCGTTTTCACTTCCTGTATAACGGTTCCATATATAATGTAGTCTATAATTTCTTTCGGAATTCCTGTCTTTCGCAGAAGGGACCTGAAAAATAATACATAACACGAGCAACAAGGGATATTGTGAAAGTACCTACAGTGCTTTCGTTATTCTTATGGAGGCTACTTACAATAATGCATGCCTAGCTAGATCATGTGCCATCAACTTTGAATAATCAGTACCAGCCACCAGAAATGGTGTTCTGACAGCATCTACAAAAACAATATTTTTTCCAGTCTTATCCACGACGGTCTTTTTTGATTCCCTGGGAGTCCACGTCACATTTGTTGTTGCAAAACATCTTACCAATCCTGAAAGAAAGTTGTGTTACAATTGAGCAATACGAATATTTAAATGTATGTCTTTGTAAAATAGGCTGAAGAATAAATACTAACCGTGTTTCAAATGTGACAAATTAACACCACTATGAACTTTTACAAGACTTCCTACAACGTACGACGCCATTCTCTCCTTCTCTACCGTTCTACACTGTTCTGTACGGTTCTGTACTACGAACGAAAGCAGCGCAACGTGGGTCACTTAGCGAACTAAACAACATGGATTTAAAAGTTGTACGGATCAGAAAGTAGCCGCTCACAGCTTGTACTTGAACAGAGTTCGAGTGTTCAAGCACAGTTGCTGCTATATTTAATGCCCAATGCTATGTATATATAAATATATTATTTAATCAGGAACGAGGCCTTTAGCGGTTACCAATACCAAGTCCTTGAAACCCCCTGACCGAAACTTGTACAGTACGTGTTGAAACAATGAGCAGAGTACTGTAAATGTTATCATCTGCTCATCAATTGAGAAATTGTTATGCACTCTACATACCTTCAAACACACAGACTTGACTATGTTTACGGTTGGTTGTACTTTTCACCAGGTATGGAAATTCCATCAAACTCTCCATAACCATAACTACCCAGGATATATATCATTCGAATCATAATTTTATTATCTTTGTATACTATTATATCATTGTGTTATATATTGTATTATTATTATTATTATTACTATTATTATTATTACTTATTGTATTGTAAAGTATTTGACTTGTCCTATATCATGTACAATGATCCATGGATATGATATGAAATAAATAAATAAATAAATAGCTCTTCACAACTAGACTGGCTCTCCAGAACGTCAGAAGGGCCCATTGAATGAGCAAGATATATAACATTAGAAATAATTGCACTGTAGATTCAGGAATTAGCTCCTACATACGCCGCTATTGGTAAAGATAATCATGTTGTCTTGAAATATTTTTTTTTTTATTATTGCTAGTGGGGTGGGACTATGTCCCTTGTACTGCGGCCACTTCTGGCCTATTGTACCTGCAACAGATGATAGGCGAGGGTGATTGTGGAGCAATTGGTGGAATGTAAATTGGCAGGGGAAACCGAAGTACTCGGAGAAAACCAGCCCCAGCGCCACTTTGTCCACCACAAATCCCACTTGACCAGACTCGGGATCTAACCCGGGCCGCCGAGGTGGAAAGCCAGCGACTAACCACTTGACCTTTATCTTATTATAAACAGGGTCCTTAAAACGGTCTCTATAGTTAATTATACAGCGCCTACTTCATCTAGCGCCATTTCCAGCCCCGTGCCCACAGACAACAAAGCTCAGGGTCATAAAAGAATTTGTATATTCACAAATTGGCGTAGTTCGATGAGCAGAAAGTTAATGCTTTTCCATGACATCTATTGTTGCCAGACAGCCGTGCATGCCTGCATTACATGCAAATTATGAGTACTTCACGCTTGCCATACTCAAATGAGTTCCATAAATTTCTTAATTTCTTTGGAGCTGGTATTGAACACTTTTCCATTTTCTTCATGTCTATTTACGACTTCATAAGCCATCTAAAACGATAATCAGAAAAATACTTCATCTAGTATGAAAGGAGGCTTGGCATTTTCGGTAGTTTCTGTAAAAGAGAGCCAGGTCGCATTGCAAGGGGAAATGTAGTGTACACGGTGTGTCCAAGATCCGTTAGGGCCGGTTAGGACTAATTTTTTTCAATTTTACCCTGCATTGCCATCTGTTGGCGAGTTGTGACGTTAAGATTCTTGAAGTTTCAGCTGTAGCTGTCTATAATTTCAAAGCGCAAGCATCGTTGCATCATGTGTTCTGACCGTTCTGACCTTGATTGTAACAGTACTTCTCCGATGCTCGCCGGAAAATGGCGGTTGAACAGAGAGCCAACATCAAATTTTGTTTGAAGTTAGGCAAGACAGCCGGTGAAGCGTACTAAATGATGAAAAGTGTGTACGTAGTGATTGTTTGAGTGGCTCGGACATTTTTCGATGGTATGCTGTATTTCGTGTCGGCAGGGAGGACATTGAAGACGCTCCACGTGTAACAAAGCCGAACAAGACGCAATGAAAAAAATGTGAAAAAAGTGACCCAAATCCTTGCATCGCATCAGACAGATGTATTTCTGCAAGACTCATCGAGGAGCTTTTGGGAATATTAGAAAGTACTGTGCATCAAATTTTGACCAAGGATTTGGGCAAACGCAAGGTCTGTGCGCGGTTTGTACCGCACGCGTTGTCAGGCAATGAAAAACATGCCAAAGTGGAACACTGCAAAGACATGTTACGGTCGGCCCAAAGTGATACAGAATTTACAAAATCGATTGTTACTGGTGACGAGACATTGTGTTTTCAATATGAGCCTCTCACAAAGTGGCAGAGTGCAGTGTGGTTGAGCCCAAGGAAGCCGAAACCAAAGAGAGTGAGCATGAAAAAGAGTCGAGTAAAGACACTGCTAAGCGTTTTCTTCGATTCCAAAGAAATCACTGACAAGGAATTTCTGCCGGAAGGTCAAACAGTGAATTCTGATTATTTTCTCGGAGTCCTCCATCGTTTGTGGGCGAGAATTCTTCGAATTCGACCTGATTATCGAGAGCAAGGTTCCTGGTCTCTCTTCCACGACAATGCCCCACCCCACAAATGGAAGATCATTAGCGATTTTTTGGCCAGAAAAAGGATCAAAGTCCGTATTCGCCAGATTTGGCTCCAGCAGATTTCTGGTTGTTCCCAAAAGTTAAGTTGTCGATGAAATGAGACCGTCACGACATCATCCGGGACATCCAAAGGGAATGTACCTCAGTTTTAAATGCGATTCCACAAAAGGAGTACAGTGACTGTTTTCGAAAACTTTTCAATCGATTCCAGCTATGTATTGATTCAGAAGGAGGCAATTTTGAATAAAAAGAGTGAAATTTTGAAAATAATTCACGTCTTGTATTTTAATGAACACAGTCCTAACAGAACCTGGACGCACTGTGTATATCATAATATTATGATCTTACTCAAGTCAGGTATATTCTAACTTCTTCTGCAGGAGTAATTCGTTCCTGTGGAAAAAGAAGGCCTCTTCACCCAAATATTTTGTCCTGACACTGGCATATACTGTTCATTCTGCTGACATTTATAGTGATTTTGTGAGCGGAACACGCTGGATGGCCCTAGTTCCGGTGAGACAATCTGAATTGTCAATACTTCGACAAACTGCTCTTCATTTAAAAAAAAAACATTTGCTTCCCTCCGTGATGAACTTTGACCTAAATCTTTCCATGAGAGAATCCAAGCCATAATTGCATATCATCATCGCTACCGAAGTCACGTACATCGGATTCACAGAGCAAAGAGCATATTCCCTTCCATGTGTAAAGCCTGAAAGATAAACAATGCGAGATGCAAAGGAAACAATTCAAATGAAGTAATGTTGTACTACGACCGTGTGTAAGTTGACACCTAACACAATTTTGTTATGAAAATTTCAGAAGCATCTAACAGTATTAACTGATACTTAAAAGTTAATATTAATCGTCTATACATTGCAAATATATGTTAATTAATCATAATTTTTAATATGACTGCACAATAAATATGTTAAATGTAAAGAAAGAAGTAAGGATCTACGTCTAACAGGCCATGAAGGCCCATAGAGTTGTGAGACGTAGAGGATACCACACTTTCTAGACAATAGGCTCACAGATGGGAGTGAGGTTGTCACCCTTTCCCTACGGCCCGCCCTTTTACCCCCCAGGAACATTCCTGGTACTCATTTCTGTTAGAAGCTGATTCTACCCCAGGGCCATAGTGCGACTAAAAGGATTTGGTAAATTGAATAAAATCCATTGACCTCATCGGGAATCGAAACCGCGACCTTTCGTCTTTAGCATAATACCTCAACGAACTACGGTTACGCGTGCCCCGAAATAAATGTGGTTACTTATGTCATTTTCGTCCTTTCCGACCACTCGTACTTGATTTTCGTCAAGTCCAGTTTGTGGTGCAACCTTGTGTCAGAAATTGAAACTAAAAGAACTGCCAAACGAGAGAGATGCCTGCATATTAGTGCGACGTTGGTTTGAAAAGCCTCGTTTTTAGTCTACTTTCCTTATTTTTAAAAAGTAAATGTAGTCTTGTGAGATGACTATACTTTCTGCGTGTCTGTGAATCCCCAGTCCTTAACAACTTTTGAATGCCTGAACCAATCTTCATGAATCTTGGTATGTATAAATCCCTCCCATCAATCTGCGTGTCTTTGTGTCCCCCTATCGTTGCAAAAATGAAAGATAAGGCCCTGACCCACACACAGAGCTTTCTGCATCTTCAAAAAATATGAATCAGGAAATATACGCATAATGACGAAGTGTAGTACCATTCAGTCAAGCTTCAGCAAAATAATGAATTTTACGATTACTGGCTAAAACATTGACTATATAGAAGAAAGCAGTCTTCTGGGATTTGGCACCGTGTAGATGTGGTGTTAACCGACGTTTCGGAGGAACGTANTCTACACGGTGCCAAATCCCAGAAGACTGCTTTCTTCATAGTCACCGCCGTGAAAGCCTCAAATCTTACATTGACTATATAATTGTTATATTTCTTTCGTACACCCCTAATAATTTGACAAGAAAAATCGAAATCATAGTTGCTGAAAGCCATAGTCAATTGTAATTAACACCATCTTCGTGCACGAGAGATGTACTAGGAGCAGCAGTATCGCATGCTTTAGCTGCTTTGGCATGTACTGAGAGAGATATAATAATAATTCAGTTAAATTATGAATTTTTAGGTGTTATTTCAATATAAGCAAATTGCAGTGTTAGCACTATCACACAAATAGAAAGTAAATAAATAAATACACATGCATGACAAATGCATAAATATAAGATGCTCTACTGAATATTGTCAAGTGATAGAGCGATTATAGACGGGATTTGGACTGATAATCAGTTTTATTGTACTCTTTACAACCCGTTACTACAACCTTTATGGTATGCATACTGTTGTGTATTATTTACGAAAAAGATATAATTTGAGACAGTCGCACAATAAATAATCAAAAAGAAACAAAATAGACACTACTTTGTTAATATTTTTTAGTCGTTGTTGTTGGTATCGCTATATGTTTCGAC